ACGGTTAAGCAAAAAAGCAACAATCTGTATGTAAATGGACAAGAGTAAATGAAAAACAGAGAACAGAACATGAATAGAGTAACAGGACACATGGAAATTTCGAAATTGTCAGTCGCAATCTTTTGAAGGAACAAATATCTTTTTTTTCTCAGCGAGAAGAAATCGTAAGCGTTCACACGCCTTAATTAACGATACCTGTCAGAGTGTAAGAATTTCAAAGATCCTGCATTACTCTCGTAATCTTTTCATAACTGTCTAACGCGATTGCCAGGCTTTAATTTTGCAACGTTCTGTGACCCCTTCCTCAGGGAAGTTACTGAGAACACTGTTATGTGTTCTTTGTAAAAGGACATAGAAATCGCTGGCCATTAACGAATACATTGCAAAAGAAATCTTAAATTTTGTAAGTACACAATTATTCTTTATTTGAAACTTGAGAAAAGCATCTTTGCAATGCATTTGGAAATAATAAATGTTCCTACCTTGAACCCGGCATCGTCGCCATTTTGGTGTGGGAGCCCTGCTCGTTGCACGTGGCGTCTTCGTCTTCAAAGAACACTTCATTAACATAGAAATACATAAACTCAATGTCAGAACGCGTCGTTATAGAATATTAAATACTTAGATAACGTATCAGTATTATTTGGGGTAAACTAGGCTCTTTAATTTCACTACGACTGTCAAATACGTATGACAAGCGTAACACGTGCACTACCGGCGCGGCAACTCTGATCGGAACTGATCGGCTATTGTCGGTAAAGTTCGGTACCGGTCGTCTGGTTGTATGGCGGCAGGGGCACGTATTAACCCTCGTACGTTAGATTTTATTTACTTTTATTTTCTAAGTTTTAAATTAGATTTCTAATATATGAGAATTTTTCTTTAAAAAATTTAATCGCGAATTTATTAATCAAGGGGTCTACTAAAATTACCGGTACGTTTCCCCAAATATCGAAATTAACCAATAACAACTTTGACTGACTTACAATAAATAAATCTGTAAGTAGTATAATAATTCGTTAATAACAATTAGTAGTCCATTTCGATTCAACAATATAATTGTTGCAAATATAAAATCCCTATTTTCTAAAATTAACTATTCCAAAATCGTGTATTAGGGAAATACATGTAACACAGACGAAAGCCACACGCAGACTGAAGCAAAATCGTATAACTCGCGATCGGGCAATGTTATTGTTGTCGGTCGACGCAGCTGTTCTTAATCCTCGCCGCCAAAACAAACCCAATGAAACTTTCGATGATTTCAATAATTCCTAAGGGAATGATTTCACAAACACGAAATAAATTTTATAATAATTTTCTAAATTATATAAACGGCCATTTTTTAAGCCTTTATTCGTTATGTTAAAAAATATTGAAATCTAGATCTGGTCCTATTTCACCCTAGATATTATCTTGCAGTAATAAAATGATACGACGAATTATCATTGGTAATTGATGTTACCAACAATTTTATTGCTTCTCCCCTTTGCACCCTAGCTAGCTATAATAGCATCAATATCAGGTACCTTTTCTCTCGTAAATTTCTCACCGATACGATTCAATAAACGCGTAACGTCCAGTTTCCCAGGTGGCATTATTTAACACGCACTTACCAGAAAATTGCTTTTCCAAGGATCGACAGGTATTCCATCGTTCGAGGTGATCCTGAGTCTCGACTTTCCGTAACTCACGTGGACACGCACGAGGATTCGCCTTTCTTCGTGATTAGACAAGAACGATACGTGTAATTTCAGATGCCCTATTCGATAATCCATATTCGACACTTGCAATCTGCCACGCTTGCCCCATAGATAATCTTTAATACTAGGTTTCATCCAGCAGAGAAGATGGCAGGAGTGGTGATTACCCTCTGAAAAAATTGTTAAATGTGTAAAAATTAATGTAACACTGCTGAGTAATTAATAAAGTCATAAACGGAAAAGAAAATTATTTATAAAATGAAAATCTATCGATCTTTAAACTGGTTTTCAATCGATACAGAATGGATACAGGTTAATCATATTTGTCTAGCCTGTGTACACAAACTGTCTACACTAATTAGATAATTTCTAATAATGCGTGCTAACATTGACACCAGTATTAATTGGTAAATAGGACGATTTCAGAGCGATAATTAACCTGTGTATTTTTATTAAAATTTTATAATGTCAGGTGTTTCTGAATCTGTACTTAAATCAAGACTTGGTTATTCAAGTGTCTTCCATTGATGAATGACCAAATATGTCTACCTATCAATCCTCCTTTTCTAAACAAAGGTTCGAGAGTCCCGCGAAATTCTTCTCCCTATTTCCACCACGGTGTCGAAGCAGCGATATTAATCTCGTCGGTCGAAGACGAGAATGGTTATCAGTATAGAAGTTCGATCATTGATTCACCATTGTCCACTAAAATATCCCGATGGCACGAATACCAGAGGGATTGAACATTGCCGACGACGTTTGATTCATGACACAGGGCAGATCGAGCGTTAGCATATATTAACCTTTACCATCGCACGGACGAGAAGAAGCTGTCCGTGTGAAACGTCAGGTCCGTCAAGCGGGTCCGAGACGAGACGGGACGAACCTGGTTGATTCTCACTTTCCCTTTTCGTGGGTGGAACACCGTGAGATCATCGATCGCAACAGGAACATTCCTATCGGCGAGCGTGCCACTTTTGACAATGCCTGAATTTTTTAGCCCGAATTATGTTCCTGTACAGTGTTCCGACTTCGAACCTCCTCGTTCATTATTCATTGGGTGAAACTACCAGATGCCAATTGATTTCTCGAACACGTCACCGGGGCAAGTAAATTCGAAAGCAATTGCTTCGAATAGCCTTCAAAACTGATTAATAAGAATTATTAAACGTTATCGGTTAAAAGTATGAGAAGACAACTTTTAAGAGAGTAGAAGCGAAAATTTATCATAATTCCAGTATATGTTTCATTTTTCAACATTTCAATTACCTTGCACGTAGGGGAAACGCGTGATACAGGACTATCAATCATAGATTTAAGATTACGCGTTAGGTATCCTAAGTTATGCATTAATGTAAGGAATGAAAGAAAATAAGGAGAAGCTTGATCATACTTGGTCAATAATCTCGCACTACTTTTCAAATACACTAAAGAGAGGAAAATATTCGGGTGAAGTTCCTTTTAGCATCCCCATTCAGTTGACTTTAAAATCCCCAGGGAATCTTCTCATGCATAATATAGTCAAGTGGGTAAATCGCGTGGCGCGGGAATTCTTGGTTCATGAAAAATTGCGGCTATTTTCATCACCACCATCTTACTCTTTTAGACTTCAACAACAAAATTTTCAGTTCATCTAATCAATCACATCAGTTCACTTATGGTGTTCGTGAGTGCATTTTTTCGGCCATCTGATTTGTTTTCTCAATCGCAGCTCTACGAACCAATATCATTTCGCGTGTCATAATCAATGGCAAAAATATCCAGTAAATCCTGTTAGGTGTTAGGTTAAATTAGATTGTTATTTTTTGAAATTTTTTAAAATTCATTCTGTAGAATCCAAAAAGAAATTTCCGCGCCTCCACATTAATATTTTTCTGACTTACAACTCATGAGATGTTTGCCTGGTAATTTTTGAGTCAAAAGGAACTCTTACCAAATATTTAAATTTAGAATAGTAATGGAGAAGACGTAACACTAGAGGCATCGAATTAATTTCTACACCTCATACATCGTATTACCGACTATAATAGCGAAAAGTTAAATTACATAGGCACAAGATGAAGCCATAATACGTCATCGTCTCGTCGAGACATCGTTCATTGAAAATTTACATGTTAATCGCTTGGACGTCTGTTCGTTTTACCACGGTGACGATAACGATGCTTCATCGTGTAGGAATAAACTTGTGTAATTTCCTTCCTCTTTTCTCCTAGCCATGGATCGACATATTTTACACGACAGTAATTGAACGTGAAATTCTCCATACGCTATCCCGAATGAGATTGTTCGATTACGAATTCGTCGAATGTTGCAAGGTTCCCCTTATTTGACCTTTACTTTCAATTATCCTAAACGGTTATACGAAGAAGAAGGCCTATTTTTCAATATGAGAAAGAGCTCGTGGTAGACTGACTTTTATGGGCCCCCTGACACGGGAAGATTAAAAGCCATCCTCAAGGCGTACAACAAAAAACTGTACAACATGGAATGCACTAACATGGAATTGATTGGATGCGATGAGTCAGAATTATTCGAACAGCTTCTCGTTCCTTCTTTAGTAATATTAAGCTGTGTATTAAATGATCAATTTCAAAGCATTAAAAGCATGGCACATTTTCTGAAAAACCAAACCGAGAAATCTTACCGATTCCAAAGGTCTGCTAATTTCAAACGAAATGCTCTTCTTCGAACAACTTCCAAAGAGAACGTGAAAAACGTGTGTGAAAAAGTTGAGAAGACAATTTAGGAAACCCTTTGAGAATAGAGGGTAACGTAAAAGTTTCTGTGACCATGTGGACCAAACTTTGATGGTTCCATGGACCTACGACGAAACGTATACCAGATGTTATAACAGTTGTTGATAACTTTCAAATTTTATTCGCATTCGACTTTCACTGGCACGTAATTGATTTTCGAGCAAAGAAAGCTAAGACGGAAATGATTATCTACTTATTTGAATTTACAATGATTTGTATTGTAAGTTGATAGAAATATAAATGTTGCACTTTTTGGATAAAAAATTGGTTACATAAATATCGCAGGACATAGATTAAGCGATTGAATTGACATTTAAAATCAGGTGTCACGTTGTTGCTAAACTTTCAAAAGGTGAACAAGATTAATCCGGTCAAAGACAGTGAACCGGACAACATAATCGGTGATTTACTATCTAATTAGCGCAACTAAGTTGACACTTGCACTATAATAATTAAACGGATAAACTGAAAGGTTTCCGATCTATCAAAGAGTTTCTGTCAATGATCTATGAATAATTAATTGCAAGTTTATCTGTAATAGGTGGTTGCCACATCGCTGTTGCAATGCACTCAGCAGCAAGGAAGCAGGCAGAACAGAGAAGTGGTGTTAAACATCAGTGATGATCAAAAAAGTCAATATTTGAATCAAGATTTCTATTCCAGTGAGTACTGATTTATCGCACAGCGATGATAAATCATAGGACTGAAATGAATCTAATGGAAATTTCGTTATCAGATGCATACAATTACGGTTACGAAATTAGTCCCAGTGGACAGTTCCATCATGAAGTACGTGGACCAGATCACATCACTTATGGATGCTACGGATACATAGATCCATATGGGAAATTAAAAACAACTTTCTACATAAGTGACGGATGGGGATACCGTGTCGTACAACCAGGCAACGCGGTAGAACTATTCCTCCATGAACATGAACATCATCATGATGAATCGAATCAAGAAAATCACGATGATCACGGTGACCATGATCATCACGATCATCATGGTGTAATTACGGAATGGAGAGACCTATATTTCCCGCAAATTTGTAGACAATTCGATGGCACGGGTAGTGGACCCGGTATGCCTCCGATGGGCGGTGGTAAGAAATATAAAAATTTAAAAATAATTGATATTGATATACAACAATTGCAGGTATATTCAATTATGTGAACAGGTCCTAGTACAGATGGTTCAAGCAGTGGAGGAACTCCTGTAAGACCAGGACAACCCCAATATCCATCCCGACCCCCGGAATATCCTGCCCAACCCGGTAGATATACGATGGCATAATTAATCAAAATAACCGTAATTAGAAGGTTCAGCGTATGAGAAAGAAAAATCATTGACCATCCACAGGATATCCTGGCACGGGAGGTACACCTGGACAGCCTGGATACCCTGGCATTCCAGGAAGCACAGGAACGCAACCTGTACCACAGCAGCCTGGATATCCTGGCAAACCTGGCACGCCAGGTATACCCGGGACACAACCCGGACTCCCACAACCTGGACATCCTGGTACCCCTGGTACTCCAGGTAGACCCGGTACACCAGGCATACCTGGAACTCCACCAATACCTGCTCAACCTGGATATCCTGGTACTCCTGGCACACCAGGTAGACCAGGTACACCAGGCATACCTGGAACTCCACCAATACCTGCTCAACCTGGATACCCTGGTACCCCTGGCACACCAGGTAGACCAGGTACACCAGGCACACCGGGTACTTCACAACCAGGTACGTAAATTCATTCTTACGTTTTCATTATTAAGGTATACTTCAAATTCAGCATCATGTCACGAATAATTGTTCATAATTTCAGGTCATCCTCCAACACCTGTTCAACCTGGATATCCGGGGACCCCAGGCACACCAGGTAGACCAGGAACACCAGGCTTACCTGGAATTCCACCAATACCTGCTCAACCTGGATATCCTGGTACCCCTGGCACACCAGGTAGACCCGGTACACCAGGCACACCTGGAACTCCAACAATACCTCACCAACCAGGACATCCTGGTACCCCTGGCACACCAGGTAGACCCGGTACACCAGGCACACCTGGAACTCCACCAATACCTCACCAACCAGGACATCCTGGTACCCCTGGCACACCAGGTAGACCCGGTACACCAGGCACACCTGGAACTCCACCAATACCTTCCCAACCAGGACATCCTGGTAGCCCTGGCACACCGGCTACGCCCGGAACACCAGGAATACCTGGAACCCCTCCAATCCCACCGCAACCAGGACATCCTGGTACCCCTGGCACACCAGGTACACCCGGTACACCCGGCATACCTGGAACTCCTCCAATACCTCCGCAACCTGGATATCCTGGTACCCCTGGCACTCCGGGTACGCCCGGAACACCAGGAATACCTGGAACTCCACCAATACCTCCGCAACCTGGATATCCTGGTACCCCTGGCACTCCGGGTACGCCCGGAACACCAGGAATACCTGGAACTCCACCAATACCTTCTCAACCAGGACATCCAGGTATCCCTGGCACACCAGATAGACCCGGTACACCAGGCACACCTGGAACTCCACCAATACCTCCCCAACCAGGACATCCTGGTACCCCTGGCACCCCGGGTACGCCCGGAACACCAGGAATACCTGGAACCCCTCCAATCCCACCGCAACCAGGACATCCTGGTACCCCTGGCACACCAGGTAGACCGGGAACACCAGGAATACCTGGAACCCCTCCAATCCCACCGCAACCAGGACATCCTGGTACCCCTGGCACACCAGGTAGACCGGGAACACCAGGAATACCTGGCACCCCACCAATCCCACCGCAACCAGGACATCCTGGTACCCCTGGCACACCAGGTAGACCCGGAACACCAAGCATACCAGGAACTCCATCAATACCTTCCCAACCAGGACATCCTGGTACCCCTGGCACTCCGGGTACGCCCGGAACACCAGGAATACCTGGAACCCCTCCAATCCCACCGCAAACAGGACATCCTGGTACCCCTGGCACACCAGGCAGACCCGGTACACCAGGCATACCTGGAACTCCACAAATACCTCCACAACCTGGATATCCTGGCACCCCTGGCACACCGGGTATTTCACAACCAGGTACGTCAATTCATTCTTTGTTTTCATTAATAGGGTATACTTATAATTCACCATCATGTCACGAATAATTGTTTACAATTTTAGGGCATCATCCAATCCCATCTCATCCTGGATATCCTGGCACCCCTGGCACGCCAGGCACACCCGGAACACCAGGTACACCCGGCTCACCACCAACACCACCGCAAACTGTAACTCCTGGTAGACCAGGTAAACCAGGTACGCCCGTTCAACCTGGTATTCCCGGACACCCCGGTACACCTGGATACCCTAGCCACCCTGGCCCTTCTGCCCCAGGTACGTAAATTCATTCTCTGTTTTCATTATTAAGGTACACTTCAAATTCAACATCATGTCACGAATAATTGTTTATAATTTCAGGTCATCCTCCAATACCTTCCCAACCAGGACATCCTGGTACCCCTGGTATACCAGGTAGACCCGGTACACCAGGCATACCTGGAACTTCTCCAATACCACCACAACCTGGATATCCTGGAAGCCCTGGGACGCCAGGCACACCTGGAACGCCAGGTATACCTGGAACGCCTCCAATATCTGGTCAACCTGGATATCCTGGTTCCCCAGGCACACCAGGTACACCAGACATACCTGGAACTCCGCCAATACCACCTCAACCTGGCTATCCTGGCACCCCTGGCACACCGGGTAGACCAGGTAAACCAGGTAAACCAGGTAAACCAGGTAGGCCCGTTCTCCCTGGAATTCACGGACACCCCGGTACTCCTGGATACCCCGGCTACCCTGGTACTTCTCAACCGGGTACGTAAATCCATTCTGTGTTTTCATTATTATGGTCTAATTCAAGTTAAACATCATGTCACGAATAATTGTTTATAATTTCAGGTCATCCTACAATACCTGCACAACCTGGATATCCTGGAATCCCGGGCACACCCGGTAGTCCCGGTACACCAGGCATACCTGGAACTCCGCCAATACCACCTCAACCTGGATATCCTGGCAGCCCTGGCACGCCAGGCACACCTGGAACGCCAGGTATACCTGGAACTCCTCCAATATCTGGTCAACCTGGATATCCTGGTTCCCCTGGCACACCAGGTACACCAGGTACACCAGACATACCTGGAACTCCACCAATACCACCTCAACCTGGATATCCTGGCAGCCCTGGCACGCCAGGCACCCCTGGAACGCCAGGTATACCTGGAGCTCCACCAATATCACCTCAACCTGGATATCCTGGAACCCCGGGCACGCCAGGCACACCCGGAACGCCAGGTATACCCGGGATACCACCCACGTACCCAAAACCTGGAACCCCTGGTAGACCAGGTAAACCAGGTAAGCCCGTTCACCCTGGAATTCACGGACATCCTGGTACTCCTGGATACCCTGGCTATCCTGGTACGTCTCAACCGGGTACGTAAATTCAATCTCTGTTTTCATTATTAAGGTATATTTCAATTTCAACATCATGTCACGAATAATTGTTTATAATTTCAGGTCATCCTTCAATACCTGCTCAACCTGGATATCCTGGCACCCCTGGCACACCAGGTATACCTGGAACTCCACCAATTCCTGCTCAACCTGGATATCCTGGTACACCTGGTACACCAGGTAGACCAGGTACACCAGGCATACCTGGAACTCCACCAACACCACCTCAACCTGGATATCCTGGCACCCCGGGCACGCCAGGCACACCTGGAACGCCAGGTATACCCGGAATACCATCGACACCGCCCCAACCTGGAACTCCTGGCAGACCGGGTAAACCAGGTAAGCCCGTTCACCCTGGTATTCCCGGACACCCCAGTACTCCTGGATACCCTGGCCACCCTGGTACTTCTCAACCGGGTACGTAAATTCAATCTCTGTTTTCATTATTAAGGTATATTTCAATTTCAACATCATGTCACGAATAATTGTTTATAATTTCAGGTCATCCTTCAATACCTGCTCAACCTGGATATCCTGGCACCCCTGGCACACCAGGTATACCTGGAACTCCACCAATTCCTGCTCAACCTGGATATCCTGGTACACCTGGTACACCAGGTAGACCAGGTACACCAGGCATACCTGGAACTCCACCAACACCACCTCAACCTGGATATCCTGGCACCCCGGGCACGCCAGGCACACCTGGAACGCCAGGTATACCCGGAATACCATCCATACCGTCACAACCTGGAACTCCTGGTACACCGGGTAAACCAGGTAAACCCATTCACCCTGGTATTCCGGGACACCCCGGTACTCCTGGATACCCTGGCCACCCAGGTACTTCTCAACCGGGTACGTAAATTCATTCTGTGGTTTCATTATTAAGGTATGCTTCTAATTCAACATCATGTCACGAATAATTGTGTATAATTTCAGGTCATCCTCCGATACCTGCTCAACCTGGATATCCTGGCACCCCTGGCACACCGGGTAGACCAGGTACACCAGGTATACCTGGAACTCCACCAATACCACCTCAACCTGGATATCCTGGCAGCCCTGGCACGCCAGGCACACCTGGAACGCCAGGTATACCTGGAACTCCATCAATACCTCCTCAACCTGGCTATCCTGGCACCCCTGGCACACCGGGTAGGCCAGGTACACCAGGCATACCTGGAACTCCACCAATACCTCCACAACCTGGCTATCCTGGCACCCCTGGCACACCGGGTAGACCAGGTACACCAGGCATACCTGGAACTCCACCAATATCACCTCAACCTGGATATCCTGGCAGCCCTGGCACGCCAGGCACACCCGGAACGCCAGGTATACCCGGAGTACCATCCACACCATCACAACCTGGAGCTCCTGGTAGACCGGGTAAACCAGGTAAACCCATTCACCCTGGTATTCCCGGACACCCTGGTACTCCTGGATACCCTGGCCACCCAGGTACTTCGCAACCGGGTACGTAAATTCATTCTGTGTTTTCATTATTAAGGTATACTTCTAATTCAACATCATGTCACGAATAATTGTTTATAATTTCAGGTCATCCTCCGATACCTGCTCAACCTGGATATCCTGGCACCCCTGGCACACCGGGTAGACCAGGTACACCAGGTATACCTGGAACTCCACCAATACCACCTCAACCTGGATATCCTGGCAGCCCTGGCACGCCAGGCACACCTGGAACGCCAGGTATACCTGGAACTCCATCAATACCTCCTCGACCTGGCTATCCTGGCACCCCTGGCACACCGGGTAGGCCAGGTACACCAGGCATACCTGGAACTCCACCAATACCATCTCAACCTGGATATCCTGGCAGCCCTGGCACGCCAGGCACACCTGGAACGCCAGGTATACCTGGAACTCCATCAATACCTCCTCAACCTGGCTATCCTGGCACCCCTGGCACACCGGGTAGGCCAGGTACACCAGGTATACCTGGAACTCCACCAATACCACCTCAACCTGGATATCCTGGCAGCCCTGGCACGCCAGGCACACCCGGAACGCCAGGTATACCCGGTATACCATCCATACCACCACAACCTGGAACTCCTGGTAGACCGGGTAAACCAGGTAAACCCGTTCACCCTGGTATTCCCGGACACCCCGGTACTCCTGGATACCCTGGCCACCCTGGCCACCCTGGTACTTCTCAACCGGGTACGTAAATTCATTCTGTACTTTCATTATTAAGCTATACTTCTAATTCAACATCATGTCACGAATAATTGTTTATAATTTCAGGGCTTCCTCCATATCCTGGATATCCAACTCCTCCAGATGGTGGTGTAGGCGGTGTTGGACCTGATGGCCCCAACGGCCCATGGCCCAATGGTCCAGACGGTCCTGAAGGCCCGGGTGGACCTGGAGGTCCAGGAGGACCTGAAGGACCCGGAGGCCCCGTCGGAGGTGTTGGAGGAGTCGGCGGGGTAGGTGGCGAAGGAGGTGTTGGACCTGATGGTCCAGATGGTCCATGGCCAACAGGCTCTCCCGGTCCCGATGGACCATGGCCTGGTGACCCAGACTATGTACCCGGAGCAAAACCAACATCACGCCCTAGATACGATGAACCTATCAAAGTACAATACCCTCTAAAGTACTATGAATCCACTACACCGACTACACAACACTTTGACCAACCATTCTACGGGAACTATGGACAGAAGCAAGTCGAACGACTGTCTTCTCACTCCAAAGTAGAATCAGAATACACTAAAAACGAATCTTCGAATGAGAACTACGACAAGAGAGTCGAATCCATAGCTGTCGATTACCCGACCAAGATAAACAGTCCGTTTGGTGTGAAAGACACACGGTTTCAAGATCAATACGGAAAGTTCGGTTATCATTCAAGTCAATTGAATCAGAATGCGGATGAGGTTAACTCTCTTATAGAAACGCAACGAAAGGAGTCCCAGAAGTATTCCGGGCAAGATAATAGAGGCAACTACGGCGGCGCGAAGAAGATAGATAGGCCTCAGGTATCTTACAACTCAAAGTATTTCGGTCAAGAGAAATACCAAGAGAGTTCTCGCGAGGATCGCAAATACTCCCAGCAGGTTACCAAAGTGAGCCAGCCTATTCCCTACAATCCGATCGTTCAGGTAGAGACGAACAAGTCTACCAAGGAGGATCAGTCCAATGTAAAGTTTCACTCTCCAAACGGAAGCAATGCCGCGCTAATTAAACAGGTAAACGAATTGTCTGAGACCCCGTTAGAGCCGAATTCCGGATTCGCCGCTATAGGAGTTCAACCTCCGACCAACACGAAACCCTATCAGCAATCAGTAGGGCCAGACCCGCAAACCTGTCCCTGTTACCTGCTCGATATGGCGAACGGTACCGCAACCACTACAAGCACCACATCCATTCCTCTCATTGGTCAGCTTGGCTTCATTCCCGTGGTATTCGTACCATACTGTCCGGGTAGCGACCAGACGGACAGCGAAAACATGAAAGACATGTTCCCGTCTGCAACGCCTATTCCATACGCATGCGACGCGTGCAACTCGCTGAGCGGAAAACTCGAAACGAAGCTTCTCAGCGTGAATCAGCTTGGCAGTATAGAGAGTCTAAGGGATGCATTGCGACAGGCGAAACTTGGCTTTTTGAATGTTTCAGTTCGGGATCGAAAGGAGAGGCGAAGAGCGAAGAGCCGGAACGCGAAATGAAGAGTGCGATTGTAATACGCGGATTTCAAGTCGACACTCGAGGCACGCATCTCGTTTAAACGGAAACGGTCCGTAACCACGAGAACACTGCCCGTCCATCAGCTGCTGGTCAGCTGACGGATGGCCAAAGAAAACACCCTCTTCCAGGATAACCATAATCTGTGAAATAGTTTGAAGGAAATTCATGGAATCGGTCTTGGACTATCGACTATGGTTGTCCTAAGGTACAGCAATTAGTGTAATCATTTTTCTACATTCCTCGTTCTTCGTGCTTTGATTTTGTCATTAATATACTTTCGAATATTTTGCAAATTTAATTTTAAACAACAGAGAAAGATAACTGAGATCAATGCACGGAGAACTGCATGTACTCCCTGAGAATTTTTCTTCGTCATTTCACCATATCATTTTTGCTACTTTTGCAGCTTTCGTATTAGAAATTTCTTTCTTAAACATGAATTTTAGTTTACCCTCTCGTCGTCATCAGCTGGTATTTAATTTCAAGAATACTATTTCGTTTCACTCGATGTTGATACAATCACTTTTCATGACTACACTTAACATTGTTCAGTATGAACATCGTGAGAAATGAAAGTCCCTCTTTAGCTTTTCTCGGTTAATGTATGCTTGAAATTAAATATTGTTCGTACAAGTGCTAATACATATTATTATACTCCATATTGAGCACGTACAGTCTGTGGCGGATGTAATTTTGAATATTCATTATCGGAAATTTCGAATATAAAACACAGATGAAATGTTTCGAAAATTAGTAGAATTCTTTACACTGTACGTGCTCGATACGCGTTTTAACAAGATAATATTATTTTTTATATTGGATATAAGGTATGTAATATGTGTCTTATTCATTAGCATAGATTTCGACAAATTTTCACTAAATTATACATAATATTAATATCGCGTTCATCCGATGTTCCTTTACGAATACGAATCATGTATTTTAATTAAATAAAGCTAATCATGAAACATGTTCAATCATTCACACCATAAATCTTGTTACCTTAACTTCGAATAATATCTCATAAATGAATACGTTCTCTCTCAGATAAACCATACTTTTATTCGCTAAGTTTTATTTATTATTATCAATAATATATGTATATGTACATTACTTATTAATAACGGTGAAAAATTAATAAAAATTATTAATACAGATTACGTATCGATATCAATGAATGCCACATACACAGTTTAATCAGTATTGTTTAATACTGCTGCAATGTTTGTTTATTGCATTTTATTTTGCAATATTTTTCATCTGATAATTCCTTTAAGAATAACCCCTATACCCTGATGGATAACCAGCATAACTACCACTGCGATAGCTAGATGGATCATAGCTATTTCTTACGTTGTACGAGGATCCATAATTCGAACCTCCATAACCATTGTATCCCGTTCCATACCCATAACCATCTAATCCACCGTAACGACCATACCCACCACGTGTACCGTATCCATAGTATCCATCATCGTAGACGCCTGAACCGTAAGTTCCTGGAGTATAGCTATTACTGTAACCACCATAACCCCCTAATCCACTTCCGTAGCCACCATAGCCGTTGTATCCGCCATAACCAGACCCGTAGCCACCTCCATACCCCGGATTGTACCCGGAGTTACCGTAATAGCCGAACCTGAGATCAAACAATCGTGAAAATTCGAATTCCAAAGGAAATTTTCATTCGAACGAGGGAAAACGATTACAAAGAAATTTCATAATTTCATCTATTTTCAAGTATCGAATTTTGCACTGTCTGTCTAAAAGATATTATGCTCCCTTCGCTGTAACGTTCTTGCTAACCATTTAAGTTGGATATTTTTAAAATTCATATCTTGTCTGACATTTTTACGAGGACCATCCGTTACGTTGCACCTTGAATTGTGCTCACCCTATATGGCCGCCCCCGATAATTCCAGGTCCACCCACTGAATATCCTCTGTAGCCTGGATTCACGTATCCCGGGCTCAATCCTGTTCCACGGTATGCTGTACCAGGACCGTAAATCGAACTTCCAGTTCCCAAGTAACTCCCGTAAGGTACACCACCGACGTAGCCACCTGGCTGGCCGTATTCCTTGCTAATATGGAACGCTGTAATCAAGGGAGCTTTTAAGAGAATTAACATTTTTCAAGGAATCCTGATGCTTCGTTTAATTAGTAACAGGATCTTCTGGGATCTTCGTTTACAGCTAAGAAAATATAGATTCAAGGAGGTGTCGAAGAGGAATTTTCTATTTTACTAGCACAACCTAATCCAAGGCATACAAATAGAAATCGACATTCTTTTAATTACAAACACCTTAGGAGGATCCTATTTTACCCTAGGAACAAACACAGCCCTGAGCCTAATGGAATATCTTGAGAGGAAAATGTAATAACTTTCATGGTATTTATAAAATAATTTTTTTTCTTTAGACAGATGGAAAGATTGTTCTGAGAAATATGCGACCTAGGAAGGTTATTTTACACTTCTCTCTGTGAAGAGAAGAATGCACAATAAGGGGAACCTTGGAAAGTGTTGAAGAACGGTTGAATGATTTTTCACACATTCGCGTTCTTCATTCATCGCTTTCATGGTGGCGGAAATGACGCGTTTATGAATCACCGTGCACCACTATTCCACCGGGGAATATAATCAAACTAAATCATACAATTAACGCTGTAACAATAGGTATACATCATCCGATTGTAATGATAATTTCTTATTATTATTTCTTACAACTTGGTTTCCTTCATTCTTTCGCAAATGTTTAAAAAGAAATAGAATACAAAAAAATTAATTGCACTTCGTTTCTCTTCTCTCTCCCAGCTAATATTTATCAAATTTCAATACGCTATTCTGTCAAATTTTAGTTTAAAAATAATTATTAGTTTATAATAGAAATTATAAGGCTTCATATTTTATTAGCTCTCCCAGCTAATATTTATCAAATTTCAATACGCTATTCTGTCAAATTTTAATTTAAAAAGACGAAATTATAAGACTTCGTATTTTATTTTTGACCATTTTTTAAACCCAGCTGTAGGTATTTAATTACTTAATATGTTAAATTTTCACTGTGTCCTATTAATAGAAATTAAATCAAAGGTAAAAAAAAAAAAAAGTGTGGTGCAGATGAAAACACATGCATCACCTATGCAAATTCTGTTATTCCCGTCAGGTGAATCATTGTAACAATAATCTAATGCAGACCAGCGATCGCTAGACGCATTAGAAAAGACGAAGGACCTTCGAGGAGTCGACGCCACATTAGCATGTTATTATATCGAATGTCACTTTTTACAATGAAATACGTTTGAAGTGCTCGATCGTGGGAACGGTAGTGACATACTTATTTAATACGTTCGCAATGAAAAAGGTTGGATAACGATCGATTATGCCTAGCAAACAGTCGTCGGGTAATTTTGCTTCGAGAATCAGACGAGTATACAAGTTCGCGTAATTATGCAGTTAGAAGTATCCTCTGAAATCAGCCATTTTCTTATGATTTCTTTTTCCCCTTCCGGAATTCGAGGATTACGAAACGATCCGTTGAATAGGGGCCAATTATCGTCGATAATTTTATTGAAAAATATTTATAATTAGAGGAATATTACCTTCGGTACATCTATTTTTTTATTTTTTTAACTGTAATTACTGCTCTGATTACCGATGCCACGTATTAGTGATTTCGATAAGTATATTATAATGGATAAATTAAAATTTGAAAAATGTCCATTTCACAAGCTATGGAAATTCATCGATATTCATGCTATAATGATAAATCATGCACTTACTTCGATCACTCGCAGCCGCTGTTAAATCTTTGTCAGCATCCTTGTAGGAAGGGCTGTTCAGCGGGATTAATTTAGTAGTCAGCTTTGTTTCTGACGATTCGATGGCACTCCTGCCGAGCGCAAACAAACAGGCAACTGTTAATACCTGGAACTGAAAAATACATAATTTTTATTTCGTCGATGAGACAGCATACTTCTTGGAAATAAGTTTTTTATAAATATAAAAACCAGGCACAATTATAACAATGTAATAATTTTGCAAAATAACATTCATCTCCTAATGGAAATAATTCCTTTCGTTTGAAAGGAACAAAGAGATGCTTTATTTCATTGTTACAACTGAAATTCTGTTTTCTGTGAAAGGATCCTTATCGAATCAAAGTAATATTAAATTTTCAATCTTTGTTCTTATCATTCGAAAAGCATACGACTTTCTCTTCATATAATTCTAAATAGTGGCTCCTTGCCAGAGCAAACAAGATTATTTCTTCCAGATTATGTACACTACTCTTATCCTCCCTTTCTTTAACAAACTTTTCTCAATATCGTAAACTGATGTATAAAAATGGAGATATTTTCAGTTTCCAAGATATCCGAAGACATTTCTTTGCAGAATCCTTTTGCTAATTATTTTCATTGATTGCAAGCAGGTAGCATAACTTGCAAGGAAATTTAATTAACTCTAGTTCATCTAAAAGTAAATTAAAAAAGACATTGTTTTTATTATCATTCTTTTTATTTTTTACTTTCTATTTGATGAAAATTATTAATTTAGCGATTGAATTTGCTGGTCAAGTTAGGTCAGGTTAGGTTATGACAGAGAAGATAAAATACTATCTATATCGCTCATTGCAACTTACTAATGGCTTATTTCCTAAAAGGAAGAGAATTAATGATCCGTTTTATAAAATCATAAAACCCTATATTTACTATGTGCACCGTGTCCCGATAAAAGTTAGCAAACTTACACATTGAAATAACTTTTAAACTTCAAAAAATTCTCGTAACTTCGTACCAATATTTACACCCTTACCAATTCCCTCTTCCAAATTTTCCTTCTTTAGTATCTATGGCAAGGATTTGAAATTATAGAGGCAATTTTCTGCCAGAGTGCACTGTTGAATAATTAAGAATCGTTAATTTCCAAATGACAAAATCTGGAAGAACTTTCCATCAAAATGCATTAGCAATTAATTAACGATTATTAATAATTCTCAAAGAGAACCTGAGTCCTCTTAATTAATATACCAGTAAATTTTATAAAATTTGTAATTCTATCGACCCAAGAAAGTAAAAATGAAAAAAATCGATCCCCAATATCTGATCAAAGAGAAAAATACTTACAAGACGAAGGTGCTGCATTTTTCTTTCGAACGAAATTTCACGCGGAAAACACCTACGTGGGAGACGATGTGTTCTGCTCGAACGAAGTCGTTCGAAACCTCTATATACGCGTTCCCTGTGCCCCTCCTCGTTTTCCTGGCCAGGCTACGTTTGTTTAAGCTCGAGCTCAGGAGACGACGTTGACAAGGCCGTTGAAGAGAATCAGGCTGTGTTCTGCGTGACACGCCTGTGCCTCGACCCATGGGAAACCGCGTTTCCTTCTTTCCGGATACAGGTGTGCGTACATGTATGCGATATCAATTCTATTTACACCGTGATATCCTTCGATTTTGGCTACGTCATCCGACGAGGATGCGAAAATTGACTGGAATTAGTTCAAGATCGAGGAACTGCTTGGATGAGCTTCGGAGGATTCAGAAAATTCTCGATGACTTGTTAATTATAGCTTTTTGCTTTTAATACTGGGCCGAGGATAATGAAACTTTGACGAATCACTTGTGTAACCTTTTCTTTTTTTTATTTTCTAAACGAAGATCTCGACTTACCCCTTTCTCAGAGGAGCACCATCAAATTTAACCACCGACTCGATTTCTATGGCAATGGCTTTTATAATCTAATTAAAAGCTTTTCATACTGCCTTATGAAGTATTTGTGAGGTAGTTTTTAATAATTAAATGCGTGGGTAATTAGCTTTCGACATCTCAGAACTCGAAGTACAAGGTTCATTAACTGTCCGTCAGTTTTTAGAACTGTACCGAATATTATATACGGAAAGAAATTCAATTTCCGCGAGTCAAACTTTTCCCGACAAGCGTTCTTGTTAATCGAATTTTAAAGGAAAAAAAGATGAAGTGGAATCGTAGGCTTTCCAGAGAAACTTATGCGCCGGGTTCCTACCCTTCCTTGAGTTCCAAGGCAAATAACGATCTAATGATAAATCTATGGCAGACCACCACTTGCGTATAAACGTTTGCGCGGGAAAATTTGTATTGATATTCGATAAAATTTCACAATAAATTCTCGAGTGTTTCCAATGTCTATAAATGTCTGTTTCGTGATACTGTTACTTAACAATGTCGCAGATTTCGCAAAGTCAATCATTCAAAAGGCAGTGATAACAGACGACACGGTATAGCTCTCTAAACAAAGGCACTGTTACAAGGTTTACTAAAAAGTGTTGCAATACGAGGTTTCATGTGACGGACACACCTTACAATACCACCAGAGTTACTTAAGTACTCGGAAACACGAACCTGTGTCATAAACACAATCAATTCATAGATAGATACTAATACAAACGATCTAAAATGGATATCTATTATTTGAAACAATAAATGATAATTCAGAACCATTTTTACAAATGTACAAATTTTTCCTAAGCAACGTGCAAGGATCAGAAAATAGCAGAATTTTTTAATTTTTATTCAGAGATTATTTTTATGCAGAGACAAAGAAAGTGCTCGCAACAGGACCAGGTTTAACTGGGTCGCGAATTTCCACGCTCTCAATTGCCCAGAGTTTTTAAATTATCAATTTACGAACGTTTGTCATAATCTTCTTATATTTACAAAAAACATATATGTACTTTCTTTTATGGAATGGTAACAAAAGGTTAAAGTCATAAAAAATTTTTAAGCGCAAACTAGATATCAGGATTATTTACTAATTTTTCATTTCAGTTAATCGGGGTTATATTGTACAGTACCGAGCATGGTAGACATCCCTAGGGAAAATAACGATACCACCCCTTCTCTAAGTTTTCCCGGGTCCCAAGACCTCCCCTTGCCCGAGATTCCCGTCCGACCCCTCGAGTGGTTCCCAGGAGAATGAGGATGTAAATGAGGAAACCTCATATACAGATCTGTGCCTCCCCACTACTTGCGTACAATCGTTTACGCAAGAAAATCTGAATCGATATTCATACTTCTTTTCCAAAATACTTTTAATATCAATATTGAAAGATAATTTACTCTTCCTTTATAAATACACTTCATAATTTTAAACATAACAATGCAGATGAATTTCCACGTACACTAATACATCTTCGTATGTTATACTTCGTGCAAACAATAGAAAAGAATTAGAAACACGCTTTGGTACCCAGAAATGATCGATCGATGAAAGCAACTTCTTTGTATCGTGATACACCATTATATTGGAACAGTATTATAAGAAAATCGTTGAAATCTACTTTAGAAACGAAGGCTACGAGAATGCCTGATGTTTGGATGCGACAGCTGAAAGTAATTTAATTTCAACATGTTAAAACGAAAAGAGCTCTGGAACAGAAATTAACTATGAAAGAGATGTAAATGTAGCACAATGCAATTTTTCATCTCAGTTGGAATTAACATAATGTGATTAATTACGAATATTAAAAATAAGAGTTGTTGCCATTTTTCATCGACGAACATTTTGCAAAATGAACGAAGCACGATCGAAAGTTCTAAAGCTACATGAAAATACATACTCGGTACAAGAGTCAATCTCCATTCGCTTTATCCCCCTATCGCGACCCGAACGCATTGAGCTGAACACAATACGACAAAGAGACGAATCAGAGCAACGTTTCCACGCGGTCAAGCCAATTCTCGTCGTTCATTGTCCTGCGGTGAATAAATTTGAAGAAACCATTCACAATATGCACGTGCAGAAAAAGATGAATCGAGCGAGAAACGGGCGGCGGGTTAAGGTTCACAGAAGACTCGGTCACGTTCGGAGAAGCGCGCGATAGGGCGACGAACAACGGCGCAGGTTCCACAATGATCTCCTTCCACGAGGAAATGCTTGTTGAAGTCTGCCCCTCCGTGGACACCCCCCACCCTCTGATTCACGATGTTCATCGCAAAAACCGACCGCATTTCGTCGCGAGTTCTCGGAAAGCGCGTACCTACCGAAACCCGCGTCCGGCGGTGATCGAATTTTCACTCTCGCGTTAAAATCTTCGCGGAAAATTCGAATTTCTTCGATCCGAATGATTCAGATTAATCTTTGGACACTGAAGAACAATAGTTCGAAAGCAAATTAGAATTGAAGCAATTAAATGGGTTATACGAACGAGGAAAGGAATCGACAGTTTGATCGTCACTGTCTCGAAAGGAGAACACGGAACTGAAGAGAATCGCGAAGGAAATCGTGTCTTTAACTAAGGAATCGTGAAATCGACGAACCCTTTGATCTCGTTTTTATCGGAACACTGTCAACGTCGCGTTTGTTGCCGTCCGATTCGAAATATCGGTGTGTTAAATGCACTGTGTCGTGTGGAAGACAAACGAACACATGTTTTTCTCTAGTTTAAGTAAAGCCGGTGTTGTGCTGTGAGTGAGAACGGTGATCAATTGTGATTAGAAACTTTTGGAAGCTTGGTAACCATGTTGCAAGACGAAACTATGCTGAAGCTTCTGAGCTCTATGCAACTGAAACTTTGCTTGGAATTTCAGGGATATTGTCTCTAATAATCGTGGTTTCTTGGAAATGCGTCGAAGCGTTTGCAATATTAAATTCAATAAGGTATTGTTCGGGGGTTGTTAATTGAAGGATCATTAGAGGATAATCAAGTGCCTGCGCGAGGAATTGAGTTGAAATGACTTGTGCTAAGTCGACGTCGAATTCATAGTAATTGAGTTACAAGAACAATAGAGTGCACCCGTGGGCGTGGAGAATCAGATTTCTAAAGAAGTATCAACAAGCTCCTTTGCCGAGCAATCTCTAAGGATTATGGAGGATCCACTCTACGCTTCGGTGAGTTGTATCATCTGTATGATAAATTACGATACAACTCCTCTTATGAGAGGCAAGCTCGATAGCACTCCGTTTAAGATTACGGGGAATCTCTGAGATAGAGTATAAGATACTGAAATTTCTAATTATAAAACTCAAATTTGATCAGCTGTATCAGATTCTTGGTATTCCTTCGATTTTTAGGAAAATTTTTCATTCCTGAATAAAATATATTTTTATTAACACTATTTAAAGGTCTCAAATGGCACCTCTTTATTAAACAATTAAGTTTTATTAAATTTATGAAATAAACTTTTCATGAAAAAAAAAAAGATACTATAAAAGAGAACAGTCAATTTCATGGAAAATTTCGTTGCGACGCGTTGACGATTCCTCAAATTGAAACAAATTTAATCACCGAGTACCTTTGTGACAGGTGTTATTTGGAATAACAAGCGATAGCGCGCGTTTTACGAGCGACAGAAATTTCTATTTCGTGGGAAAAAACCCGGGAGGTGACAGGTTTTTGAAAAATTTCCTTATGGACGTCGAACTAAAATTGCTAGAATACAAAGACAAGTAATGGAACAAAGGTTCTTCTGAAATTTGACAATATGTATACTGCACCGTCCAAACTTTAGCGATAGAGCACGCGATATGGAGGCAAATTAATTTGACAACTCTTTGTGATAAATATATTTTTTTTTTAAATGAAATCATGAATCTCGTACGAAAGGATACAATAAGAATAGTGGAAGCTCTCGTCTTCCCTTGAGCTCAATTCCTGATAACCGGAAACGAAAATAATTTTCGGAACTCCCTCAGGAGGGAGAATAGAGAAAAACTCCATTCGTGTCAGGAATCTAGGATATGTAGATAATTTCATGAAATTGCTCAGCCTCTCAGGAAAGGAAATAGCTTTTCCAGATACGACATTCGAAGATACAAGTTTTTAATTGTAACAGAAACACAATTGTTCGCTTTCATCCCCTCTTACCATTTCCTTCAATGAATCCGAAGAATACGAAACTGATGAAAGGAAATATTCAGTAATGAAAGTACAAGAATGATTAAAGGAGTTTCTTATTTTTAATAAAAATTCTAGTGGATGCACTTCGTCTACAGAAATGATTTTTTTTTAAATATTTTTAGATTTATTATACGATACGTAAATAATTCTAAAATTATTAGAACATTTTGAAAGTATCAACGAAGAGAAAATGAATATTTCGTTTTCACGATTTTATATTGAAAATATATTTCTTTCCCAATATCCTCGCTCGAGTTTGAAAGTTGGAGTGCATCGAAGTTCTGTCGAAACGTGCGAAACTGAAGATTTACTTTGTTTCGAAAGGCCTTCGCGTTGTCTTTCGGGTAAACATTTATAAATCAAGAATACAATGTAGTTCAACAACGCAGGGATTCTCATTTTCAA